CGAAACATTGAATTTAGAAGAACAGTAGAAACTTTGCTTTGTATACGAAAGATTTTATTATTTTTCTAACTTCAATATGAAGTGAGAATCATCTTTGTCGGTGACAGTCTTCAAAACTTTTTCTTGTACTAACTTTTTTGGAAAAATCCAAATTTTTTTTCCTCCATAAATATTGATACGCTCTATCCAAAAATATGATAGAAGTTCTTTTTTAAGGTCGTCACTGTGTATGTGTATGAGCGCAATAATTATTATATTTTTTCTCTACTTAACTGAATTAAACACTGGAACATCAAATCCTTTTAGTAGAGGATTGGCGACATTCGCGGCACATTGCCTTGTTTTACTAATAGTAACTTGTTCACATTTCCATTCATCTGTTTACTAGTATATAGATAAGTAGAAGTTTTTTAGTGACTAGCATACAAGTAACTTTGAATTAGCTAATTCGACTTAGGTAGGTAACTTTGGAGGTAGAATATTATCATTCGTTTAAAGCTATGGTAAATGTGTCACACCTAATTAGGATTTCCATCAATGTATATGTTGTAAGATATGCCTAAAATCTTGGCAATTTACTTTGATTCATTAATTCGTCTGAAACGGTATCATATACAGAATTGATAATGATTAAAAAAAAATTTCAAAACGATCATCCGTACATGTTAACAAACAGTTTTCTACAGACAAAAGATGTTTTTTTCTGAATAATGAGACAACTAGTTTTACGTTTATTTTCTAAAACAATCAATCATTCATTTTCCTTAGGAAAAACATTTCATTCAATGACATGGCTGATTCGAGTTCCAAAATAAAAAGAAAGATTACAGCTATTTTCAGATATATCTATGAAAGATGCAAAAGAAAAGTCTTAGTTTTATATAAAATTATAATTATAAATCGAGAGCATACATACACACTAAAATAAATATGTGCATGTATCGTACTTTGTGAGACAGGTTTTTCAGCGACGGCTCAACACATTCTGAAAATGTGAATGAAATGTAGTTTGTAGTGCGATGTCGATATTCTTCTGTAAAAAGAAACTGCGATAGTTTTTCAATTTGTTCTATTTAAATAATAGTATTTTTCAGAAATTTAGTAGATCAGATCTTAATCTCTGCTCAAATTTGAATTCGCTCAATCAGCATCAGGACCATCAATCAAGATAGGGTTACTCATTCGACTATTAATTAATCTAAAATTTTCTAGAAATAATTATTTTAAAATGAAGAAGTTCTCTATGTTAAATAATGTTAGCTATGTGTCACTGTACGTACGAAAAAGAACAGTGAATGAATGGTCAGCAAATAGAACACGATAAAATCATAATACAATACATTCTGATCAAGAACATTTTTGTATTGAAGTCCGTGACACTTTAATGAACGATATATAAACATGATATAGGAAAATTGGAGAAGAAAAAATTATATTTATAAATCAAGAGCACATACTTGTGAGAAAAGGATATTAGGAAAAGAAAAAGTTTTACTTTTATGTAAATTATAGTTATACATGGAAGGCATATTCATGCGTGTATTATCCTTCCTCGTAAGAACTTATAAATGCCATTCTATTGTAAGCGAACATAAACTAAGCCTATACATGAATCAGAGTTCTTCAGGAGGTGGTGCACGTCTATGAACTATTCGAAATATTTGATTCGTATCCGAATTGATGTTGACAACTGCTTCACAACCTAAAGATCAAAGTCTAGGGTCTCTATTTTTCTCTGCTAAGTCGATTCTTGGTACTTTTTTTTCAATGCATTGCCACTCACTAACTCAATCGTTAGTGTGATTGAGCCCTTTTCTATAAATTTCTCACTCTATTTAAAAGATATTCTTCCCATCACATTTACTAGTTTCTTGCAACTCACGTTATTCTTTCAGCGACCAAATGGAGAGCTTCTAGCACCACGTGTGAAGACAGTGGTATGTCAAATGATCTATCTAATGTGAAAGATAACCTATGTAGCGTCGCGGGTAATTCTAGAAGCGTATTAATACGGAGCACTTCTTCTTCTTCCTAAATTTATACAAGTTTGCTTTCGAATCATCATCGTAATTTTGTGTAATAGTAAATCTTTTTCTGTTCCTCGTTCCATAAAAAAAGCATAAATATAGCTGTGGATTTTGTTTCTAATTTTTGAACGGCACTTAAGTATTTAAAGTTTCATAAATATTTATATTTGAATTCAAATTAGTCTTATTAGATTGTTTATTCAGGACTTTAAAAAATCTGTCTCATTACTAAAACCCAGTGTTAATAGAGTCTCATTTATCTATATATTCTATCATACACAATAGGACATCTTGCGAGCAACAACAAGAAAATACAGTCAAAGTGAAGCATTGGTATTATTACTATTCTTTAAAAAATTTTAATTGTTTTTCGGAAATAAATAGAATAATGGAAGTCTATTCACTATCATCTCTGGCTTTGCTTTATGCAAACTATCTAAGAGCCTCCAGTTTTATGAATTTAAAGGTAACTACCTCTTTCCTGACTTAAACTTTTTTTGTGGTTAGAATGCTATGAATCATGATTTCTTAATTCGTTTCAAGACTCTGAATAGTAAGATAGCAAATTTTGATACTTCCAATAGAAAGTAGAACATTATATTACTGATATGAAAACTATCCTTTACGTCGCTTATATCGAAAATAATCAAAAAATTAGTCATGAATTAATTACTTGTAACATTACTATGGTGTCTAAATTTTAGTATAATTTGTCTTATTCGTTTAATTGAACCATTCAATATGCAATAAAATAAAATGATGATCATATTATTATTTTGGAATCTGCGATGGTTAGTTTTACTCTCTATATTTGGACAACTCGACGGACAATTTGAAGAAGAAACTTGGCCTTTATCAAACTCATCTACCATCCGACTATTAGGCCTTTTTCAAGATAAAGTAAACGGATATCAATCTATTGAATTTTCTAGTCATTGTCGCGCTATGTTTAAAGCAGCAGTCATACTTTCTCAGCAATATGGTATAAAAATTGACGGGAAATTCATAGAATGGCAAGTAGCAGAAACTCATGCTAAAGCAATAAATGCTATGAGTAGTGCATGTGAAGCCTTATCTGCTTATAACATTATTGGCATTGTGGGTCCAGTATTGTCAAGAGAAATTCCTATTATTGCTGAGTTTGGCGACAAAGTTCGAATACCTGTTATATCACACGCTGCAACAGATCCTAATTTATCTGATCGAACAACTTATCCGGCTTTCTATCGTACAGTTCCTTCTGACAATAATGCAGCGATAGCAATTGTAAAACTGTTTCTTCGATTTAATTGGACTTCATGTATAATTATTCATCAAAATGATGCCTATGGATTGAGCGGTGTAAAAGCAATAACTGAAGCATTCGCTCATAATGGTTTCATAGTTACAAATACATTAGTATTTGATATATCAAAAAAAACGTATGCGAGATAATTTGCAAAGTATTTTAAGTAGTAGTTCATCAAGAATTGTTATATTATGGGCTGAAGCAAGTTATATATCTTCAATTTTACTAGATACACTTTATTCTGATGTACTTGGTCCACATTTCACATGGATATTAAGTTCAAGTGTTTCATTATACATTTACGATGATATATCTATTCAGAAATTAATTGGAATACTTACTGTTGAGCCTACAGTAGGAAATGTTTTCCATGCACCAACTAATACAACATTATTAAAAGAAGCCTATAACATTTGGAAACAGTATGAACCTATAACGTTTCCTAACTCGAGTGATGTAGATTATTACGCATTATTTGCATTTGATGCAACATGGACATTGATTAAATCATTAAAAGAATTTTGTTCAAGAAATATTGATAATTCTTCTTCATGTATATCGTTTCTCAATGCTTCATCTTGTTTTGATCGTCAGTTTCTCGATAACTCTTTATATTTCAATATAATTGATAATATGACATTTCTTGGTGTATCAGGTCCTGTACAATTTAGTAGTAATGTAACAGATCGAATCAATGGTTGTTATTATATTGCAAAAAACTATCAATATTATTCGAATGGACTAAATTTTGTACCAATATTGAGATACTCTGATCATGATGGTTGGGAAGAATATTCTGAAACACGTGCTATTGTTTGGCCGGGTAATTCATTAATATCTCCTACTGGTCATGCACAACTTGCTGGTGTTAAATTAAGAATTGGTGTTATTGAATCAGATCCATTCACAATTGTTACAACGGTAATGAATGAATTTGGACAGAATATAACGAAATTCATTGGTTATATACCTGATCTTATCGACCATCTGCAAAAGAAGATGAAATTTATTGCAAATATTGAGTTAATATCAAATCGAACATATTCTTCATTAGGAGAACTAATAGAAAACGGTGTTTATGATATAATAGTAGGTGATGTGACAGTTACTGCAGTAAGAAGAGAAAAAGTTGGATTTTCACAAGCAATATTTGAAAATTCTTTACGCATTGTTATGCGAAAAACTCCTGATGTTCAGATCGATCCCTTGGCATTCTTGAAACCATTCACACTTAGTCTTTGGTTATTGATCTTGGGTACTACTATTATGACTGGTATTTTAATCTGTTTATTAGAGAGACAAAAAAATCAAAAACGACAAAAACAATCAATAATGAATGTGTGTGCAATGGCTATGTGGTATAGTTTCGGTAATCTTATTGGATTTGGTGCAGATTTTGATGTTAAAACAGTTGGTGGACGTTTATTAACTGCTGGCTTATATCTCTTATGTTTAGTATTAGTTGCATCATACACTGCAAACTTAACGTCTGATTTAACAGTAGCAAAGTCGAAGAATGTTATTTCTGGAATCGATGACATTAAAAGTGGTAAAATACCATTCAATCGTATTGGTATTCTTATTGGTACAGCAAGTGAAGAATTTTATTTAAGAGAAATCTCTAGTAGTAGTCGAAATTTTTATCCATTAAAATCTCGAAAAGAAATGTATGATAGTTTAGTAAATAATCTGATCGATGTAACCTTTAATGATGTAGGCGTTGCTGAATATATGACTAATAATATCTATTGTAATGCAACATTACTTGGTGAAGATTTTAATAAAGGTGTCTTTGGTATTATTACACCTAAACAATGGTTATATGGACAAGATTTAGATGTTCATATATTATCCTTAAAAGAATCAGGTGATCTTGATAATTTGCGACGCACATGGTTTCACATAAAGAAATGTCCTGATTCATCAACAACATCGATTGCGATTGGCATTGAATCATTGATTGGGTTGTTTATAATGTTTGG